TCTGAATCAAACGGCTCCTGCCAGCTAACCAGCAATTCTCAAACATACTGGATGGCTCTTCTCTGTTCCATGCCATTTCTCATCCTCCCACAGAGGATCCCCAGTTTGTGTATGTGAGGCAATGGTAGGGATCTCCAGAGGTAGCAAAAGCCAGCAGGTCCCCTTGAGGCTGTGATTAATACCCATATAAGGTCCTTTTTATTTCAGTCTATGATACAAAGCAAATCACAAGGCCAGCCATGATTCAAAGGGTGAGAAATGACCTCTGCCTCTTGATAGTAGAGAATTTTTGCAACTTACTTTGTGGGTTGCACACATGTCAGGCCCTGAGCTGAGTGTTGGTGTTGCAGGTAGTGTGTGTGTGTGTGTGTGTGTGTGTGTGTGTGTGTGTGTGTGTAAAATTCAGTCTCGTGCAGGAAGCAGGTGTGTAAATAAATAACATACAAGACATAGTGTGCTGTAAAGAAGGCAGTTGAGGATGCTGGGAAAGCGTGCATGGAGAGGGCGAGCGCAAGAGCTGTAGGAAGAGGAGGCAAGGAAGCCTGGGACCAGATGATGTCATGTCTGGCATGGGAAACGCATGGTCATCAGCCAGATGAAGAATGAGGGAGAGGGCAGAGGGGAACATGTTTGGAAGCCAGGTGCTGCCTGGGGCACAGGGGCAGGTCTTCACTAGAAAGTAAAGGAAAATGGAGAATTTGGGCTGGGTGAGACTTTACTCCCTCTGCTCACCTTTGCTGGGGCGATGTAACCAGAGCCTGTGTCTATATACTGTGCGGAGCTGCTTGGAGGAAGGGTGGCTGCAAACTGGGAAGTGCGCTCTGCTCATGTGCTTTCTGCCAGGTGGTCACAGTGGGAGAAGGAGCCCTGATTGTGGGGAGCAAGGCACAGGGCATAGGGGTGCGGCATCCCACTCAACCCCAAGAAGACCAGAAAATGCCCCCCATGCCAGCCAGCAGGAATGGACGCTAAAGCGATGGCCCCCTGAGTGGGCTCAGACTATCAGCCCCCTCACTAATGGGTACCACTGAGTCTTTGCCTGGGGAGGCCCCAAGGGTCTTTGGGTCCAACCTGAATCCTGCAGGTGCAAGGTGCTGCGAGGGGCCCCGAAACCCCAGCCTTTGGTGCAGGTTCCACCCCAATCATGTAGCTCTTCCCATACCAGGCCCAGCTTTTTTGGGGGTGTTTCCAAGAGACACCTCAAAATTTAGGAGGGTTATTCAGCTCCGAGACAAGGGTGAAGAAGTCACGCAGCTTCCACCCAGGTCCTGGCTTCCTCCTGCCGATTCAGGGTGTGCTCCTGACAAGTATAGACTGTGGAGCCCGCCCTCCCCGCCGGCACGCTGCAGGCAATGGCAAGCACATACCAACTGATCAATACTTGGAATGCGCTGGGCCTGCTGTGAAGAGGAATCCCCTGGTGAGCACTTTCATAAATTGAAAAATTCTTCTGGAAGTGAATAATCGTCCCCAACTATTAAATCAGATTTCTGAAGAGGTAGAGCCATAGAGCACAGAAAGCGTGTATGCAGAGTGGTGACGCCTGAATCCCAGACCACCTGCCAGATCCAGACCTGGATTTGGGATTCCTGGTGCAGCCAGTGTTGCTGCCGGGATCAGGGATGTGGCTAGTCTCTTTGCCAGAACCTTGACCTATAGGGAAACCCTTTGAGACATCAGAACACAGCAGGTCCGGGAGTGGGATGTTGGCCTGGCGCCAGCACTAGCTAACTCCACCAGCACATGGGGCTGAATTTGCTTTCCCACACAGTATGATGAAGGGAGCCACAGAAATACTTTGTCCTATAGGAATTGGAGGCCCCACACACAGGTAGGGTTACCCAGGGCCACCTAGCTATCTCCTGACAAATCTAGAATAAGAACTGGGACCCAGGAGCTAGAGAGATGACTGGGAGGTTGAGAATGCATATTGCTCTTCCAGAGGACCAGAGTTCAGTTGGCAGCACCACATCAGGTGACTCGCAACTGCCTGTAATTCCAGCTACTGGGGATCTGATGCCCTCTTCTGGTCTCTGCAGGTACCTGCACTCATGTGGACACACACACACACACACACACACACACACACACATATACTTTTTAAAAATATATTTTAAAGGTCTAAGAGTTTGGAATCCTTCGTCTGAAGTTTTCCCCCACCTTTTTACCTCCACCCCTCTCTTCACGCAAATGACATAATCCACCAGGCTCGCTCAGCTGCAGACTCTGTAAGAATCCAGACATCACAATTTACATGAACCCTGCCTGGCTCCACAGGTCCATCCCCGAGTACCATAGGCTCATCTCCAGCCCAGGCCTCTCACCACTACCTGAGCCTCACCATCTCCTTCTCTACAGGCTTACTCCAAACCAAACTCTTCCTCCTCCCCTTCTCAGATGTCCCTTTGTCCCCCCTGCTGCCCCATAGCAGCTGAGGCCTAAATGCTTTCTCTGCCCCTCAGTGCCCATTGGGCCTCTTCACCTTCCAGTGAGATCATGCAAGGACTCCACCATCCACAGTAGTTTAAATCTACTTCGGTGACACTGGGCCCAGTGGGTGCTGACCACACGCCACATCGTTAACTTTCAGCAAGCAAGGTTGTTGGGAATCCTTTGTTTTTAACCTTTCCAAGGCTGTATATCTCACAGAAGGCAGAGTTCAGGTTCACCCTCTGGTCTGTCTCCAAAATCAAGGTCTCTGGAGACAAGGCTGTCTTCCTGCCTCCCATTGGGTTTCCTAAATCACTCTCATCCTGGCTGGCTGGCTGATCACTGGAGAAAAAGGCTAACGCTCTCCACGTCCCTGCACACAACCCCCTGCAGCACCCTCAGGCCACAGAGTTAAGCTCAAGCTGCCAAGTGTGGCCTTCCTGTTGCCCCCCCCACTCTCCACTCACCTACACCCAAACATGATGGGGGTGTCCTTCTGTATACGTTCTTCTCTTATTGGTTGATGAATAAAACACTGTTGGCCAATAGGGGCAGGGAGATAGGCGGGACTAGGAAGCAAGACTTCTGGGAAAGGTAGGCAGAGAGAGAGACTGCAACAAGACAGACGTCATGTAGTGGAGGAAGGAGTAACAGGTCCAGACCCTTCTCCAGTAAGATAAGACCATGTGGAAATACTTAGATTAATAGAAATGGGTCAATAATTAAGAGAGGTAGCCAGTAAGGAGCCCTAGCCATCGACCAACAGTTTATAAATTAATATATGTCTCTGTGTGCTTATTTGGGGCTGAAAAGAGGATGGCGGGACCTGGCAGGACCAAGACACTGCAGTTACACACCCACACAGCCCACACCCTCCAGCCTTGTCTCTGGCCCTGCAGAAGGTGGAGGGCCCAGCCAGACTTAATCACATGCACACCTGTAGACATTCTCCCATAATTCCAATCAGCCTACCGTATGGTTAGGGGTCCATGGCTTAGCATGGCCCATGGCTTGGGATAGTTTCACCGCCTCAGTCCCCAGACAGAGCCCAAGCCCAGTATATCCTTGTGAAGAAAGGCCTGCTGGACTGTCAAGGCCCACTAATCCTATTCTAACCCCTGAGCGGAACTAGATCATGTGACCCCCCCTGGTGTCTGCAGATAAAAGTAGGAGCTTCAGTTCCCCACTGAAAGATATAGAGACTTGGGAGAGAAACAAAGGACCTGCCGTAGGCTGGGGTAATTCACCTAGGGACACCTAACTAACTACCCTGTGACAAACCCAGAAGAACTGGGGGTTGTAGGAATCTCAGCATTCAACCAATACTGACCCCGTGTTCAGGCTTTAAGTCGGGAACACCAGAGGGTAATTCTTAGAAAGCCAGCTCCACTCGGCATAGACGTGAAGGGCTTGGAGTGATAATAAGGGGACTTTACTGGCATTACCTGTCTGATGACGGTCTAAGCCACCCTGACACAAGGGTCTAGGCCTCTGATGTCCAGCCACTACAGGCAAAGGATGAGGAGTCCTGACTGCAGCCAAGTGTGGTGAGAAATGATGGTTAGCCAAAGGCCCTAACATCAGCAAAGGGAAAAGTATACCTTAATGAAATGGGCTGGCTGGCAGGCTCTTCTCCTCCCTTCTAGCCCTTGGGGTGGGTCTGGGAGAAGATGTTGACCATCCCTAGGTCTGGAGCCCACAGGCCTGGATTCTGTCTGTGCCAGCCCAGGTGGCCAAGACTCCAGGCAAAGGTAGGTATACACTGGGGCAGAAAATACTCTCCTCCCATCCCCAAGCCACTTCTAAGACCTCCGGAGGCTGCACAACAGCTTCCCATTGTCAAACGCACAGGCAACTCTGGGCATCCTGGAAGGCTAGCCTAGAAAATGGGGCTGATGCACCCCACCTCCCACCCCTCGATTGCTTGCTTACCCCAGCAGTCCCCGAAAGTGTGAGATGGAAGGAGGCACTTGCCAAGCCCTTGATGGGCCCTTCTGTTCTCTGGCTTCCCTTCCCAGGAAGCCTGTTCCATGCCATGGCTTGGGTGTCTAACAGAAGAGATGCTGTTTTTGCAGAGTTGGTGGGGTTTTGTTCCTCTGAACCATGTCCAGCCCATCTTACATCACAATGCCATGCTTTACTTGATACATCGGCACCATTGGCATTTGGAGACCTTATTCCATGATTCTAGTATAGTTTTTTTTTTTTTTTAGCTGTTTGTGGTAATGTATTTTCTGTTTCCAATTGTCAGTATGGGAACCTATCCCCACTCTACTCCCTGATCTTTCAATATCTGGGTTTGATTTTTTTTAATCACACTTGGGTTTGGTTTGGTTTGGTTTTTTGCTTTTTTAAGTTGTTCCTCCCTTGGTTATGTAGCCCCTCCCAGTGGCTGCTTGTTTACGCATTGTTTGTGACCTCTTTTTGACTGTCAGTGTTCAGCCAGCCTTGTCAAGAAACAATATCAAGTATTCTCTATTTCTCTACTTCTTGAAAAAAAATTTAAAAAGAATAAAAAATAAAAACCTCTTAATGGGAACCTGGCCCTGTCTGTCTTCTCTATTCTGCAGAAATGTTGAAGGAATTGAACCAGCAGCGCAGAGCGAAAGCGTTTACAGACCTGAAAATTGTTGTTGAAGGCAGAGAGTTTGAAGTCCACCAAAATGTTCTAGCTTCCTGCAGCTTGTATTTCAAGGACCTGATTCAAAGGTTTGCCTTCCTTCCAGCTGTGGTCGGGTCTGTTCCTTCGTAGGACGCTTTTGTGTTGCTTCTCTCCCCTCTCTTGCAGGTTCCTGAGGTGTGACTCCCTGTCACAGAGCCAGTAGCCATCTCTCCTCTCCCTCCCCAGTGCCCACACACACACACACACACACACACACACACACACACACACACACACACACAGTCTCAGAGCAGTCACTGCCCTTGCTCGCACACACTGCCTCACCGGCCACCAGGAGCTAGCCCACATCAGGCCACAGGCACACCCCAGATCCCATGTTCTTAGCAGATCCCAAAGCCCCTCCTGAGACTAAGAGAACTATAGGCTCCATTTGAAGGGACCATTATACGCTGCTCCATCCTTCAGGGGCCCCAGATCATCGTCACCACTGTTGACGGTGACCCTAAGGCCAGGAGAACATATTGAGCAGGTCATCCCCGGCTGAGGGACACCAGGCACCCAGGGACTGCTCTTCCCCACCTCTGGGTGAGGGAGAAGAGTGTGTAGGCCAAACCTCACACTTGAACCCTGGGCACTAAGTGCAGACCAGGTATGTCCTAAACACGGCCTCTCGGCCTTCACTTGCCCAGCCCACCCTGGCCCATCGGCCGTTTCTCATTTCTACCTTGATCAATGGGAACATGGTGCCTGAGTATCTTTGTTTTTCCATTTTGTTGATTTTTTTTAAAAAATGATGGGTTTTTTTGTTTTTGTTTTTGTTTTTTTTTGCTGTCTCATACCCTTGCAAAGATGTCAGGACCACCTCCTAGCTCCTTAGTGAGGGAGAGCAGCCGAGGGGCCAGGCCAGGGTAACGCTCACGTTTCTCTCACCCATCAGCAGATTAATGCCGCTGCTCATTTTGCCTTGCAGCCTCTCCGGGGCGGACGCTGAGCCTGGACAGAGCTCAGAGTGGGAGGACAGGACCTCTGCTTGCTTCCCAATGCTGTGTTTGGACTTGCCAACTAACCCCAGAGCGACTGTGTTTTGTTTCAGGATGGCATCTCCTCTCCTATCCCTTGTGTCCTCTGGCGTAGAGCCAGGCTGCCGGGTGTGTGAGGTCCCACTCGGCCTCGCTGGCCAGGTGCCACACAGGCGGGGCAGGCTCTTTGTGACATCCCATTTCCTGGACAACTCCGTCTCCTACCCCGGTGCTTAGGTTCCCTCTGTCTGAGGGCCAGAGGGTTAGAGGCGCAAGTCTGGGGAAAGACAAACGTCCAGTGGCTTCTTCAGCCTAGGGGCTCTTTTTTAGGAAGTTCTGGGAAGCAGTGGCTAGTACCTGGCTGCAGAAACGTAGCTAAATAATCCTGGAGCTTGAGCCCTGATCCAAATGGGCTACAGTGTATGTGGTTAAGGTAGACCAGGAGTCCAGCCCTGCACTTGAACCGTGTGAGGAAAGGAAGCCCTTTAAGTGCCTTTGAAAACAGCAAAGCCAAACTCCACCACATGACAGGGACAAGGACCCGATAGGTGGGACCTTCTTGGACAGACAGGAGGAGGAGGAAGACCCTTCCGGACAAGGAGGGTAGGGACAAAAACAGATATGAGCCAGGGACAGGAACAGGTTGCCTCCCCAGAAGCAGATGTGAGCAGGCCCTGCCTTCCCACTGGCCTCCTGGGCTTGCTGAGAGGTGAGGGATGGAGTGCTACCTCAGTAGACCCGATATGAAAGGACGGGCATTCCATCCAGGCAGTTGCTGGGAGACACAGGGCATCCTTGGGAGTCAGGAGACCTGGGTCCTACACTTGACTCTGGCACTTGTCCTGTGACTCTGGTCTGGCCACACCCTCGCTCTCAGGCCTCAGGCTTTCTCAACTGTAAACCAGAAGTTGGTCAAATGATGTTGAAGGTGACAGTCAGTGGTACATGGACAAGAGCAGCCTGGTGAGGCTTTACAAGGTTGAATGCCAAGACATGAGAGAAGGTGGTGTTGGGGTCATAAAAGGAAAGGGAACCACAGAGTCCAGTGTCAGGCGTGAGCTGGGGAAGATGGCTGGGAGAACACAGAACATGTTGTGCTGTTAGGGCCTAGAGGGCACCCAAGACCCTTCATGGTAGGTAGACAGGCAGGAGAATCTGGCTGAGGCCTGGGGCCTTCAGCATGCATGAAGTAACTTCAGGAATCAAGAGAGAAACAGAAGCTGTTTGTAGTCATTTTGAATTTCCTGTCTGTCCCGGCCGCAGTGCACATTCTGGCATTTGCTGATGGCTGCCAGCAAACGCTTCTAAAGGGGGAAGCAGGGTCTTCACAGGAAGATAGTATCTTTGTGAGCCACGTGGCCCCCAAATCTTCACAGTCAGAGAGCAGCTAATGTTGTCACCTGTTTCAGTCCCCTTCACATCAGGGACCCTCAAGCCTTAACAACATACAGTTGCACCAGCTGGAACAATGTGGGCCAGGGGTTCCTTTTCAGGGGCTGTTGTCTTAGGAGGTGAGGAATCAGGGACGATCTGTGTCTCGGAGCTTTTTGTGGCTCATTACTAATCTGCCCTGGCTGAGCGTTGTCAGAGCAGGAGATACCCCTGTTCCTTGCTGTAGCAGCACCACAGACTGGGAAATTCATTCAGGATTCCTTTCCACCAACAACCTACGTTCTGTGTCCACTGCGGCATCCCCGTTCTCAGCTGTGATTGCCTTTCCTGAAGCCATGGGAGGGGCATAAAGGAAATTTCATTCCCCTCTGCAAATAGGCAGGGTCTCTCCTGGGCCAGAGCCCGACCCCAAACCTCAGCATTGGCCAAAACCTACCCAAAGTCCTCAGAATCAGGAAAGGGATGCATGAAACAGACTACGAGGATCCACGTCATAGGCCGTACATTAAGCCTGGCCTCACATAAACACCACGCACGGCGTGTCTATGTAAGACTGAGCAGAAAAACTGGGTCGCCCAGTGTGGCCTCCCACACAGCAGTCAAACCCCTTCCACTCCCTTACCTCGGCTCCTTCCTTACGTGCTTCCCTTGATGAGCTAGCCCTCTAAGTCATCCTTCACCACTCCTTTTCTGACAAGATTGCCAACCTGGCGACAAGAAGTTTCCTAGATGTTAGCTTGAGGAGTCAGCACGACTAGAATCCCCATTTCACAGATGAAGGTCTTGAAGCCTCAGGCATTAAGCTGGCAAAAAGATATTGTCTGACACAGAAGCCTTCTTACCACCCATTCTCTAACCTAGAAAACCAAACTGTGCTTTCTGTCAGTAGGTAAAGCCTGAGGGAGAAAAGGGAAGCTTCGGGGCTGACACCAAGTACAAGTAGGGGGTGTACTTGTGACGTTAGAGACACTGGCCACGAAGCCTGACAAGGAGGACAGAATTCCGCTTTAAGACAGGCACTTGTGCTAACACCTGCAAGGGGACTGGGCCCTCTAGACGAGGCTGGAGGCCGAGGAGCCCTTGGATAAGACTGCAGGAGGCCAGCAGCAAGCCAAGAGCAACAGAACCCACAGATCTGCTCCACATGACCTTTGACGGGCCAGCCTGAGGTCCACTGGGCGGTCAGAGGGGAAACTGAAAGATGACAGATGGGGACATCGCCTTTGGACAAGGAGGAGGGAGAAAGGGGTGAGACACTGCCTTTGGGAGAAAATCCAAGACAAAAAGCGAGGTGCTGCCTTCAGGGATGACAGAGCTACTCATCCCAGGGAATCCAGCAGTGGCTCTGAGGTTGGATCCCAGGCCTGGAGCATTTAACCCCTCGCCCGCATGATCTGCCCTGGCATTTCTTCTCTGGCCCATGGCAAAGCCCCTTCATTTACCCTCTGGACACAAAGAATCTCTCAGAATCCACAGGTGCCATAGAGACATTAATCAAGCCAGTCATGTCCACTTAATGGTTTTCTGGCTAGGCTACAGGCATCAGAGAGAATGTGACCATCCTTCTTAAGAGATGGCAGTGGTGTCTCCTGCCATCACTGGCATTTCCCAGCACGTCTCTAAGTCACGGCGTGGGAGAAAATACCTAGCACCTGAGAAAACCTGCCCCTTATCTCACAGAAGAGGACAGAGACCTGAGCACGATAGGCAACCCTGTAGCTGAAGGCCCCACCTCACAAAGCTATTGGACCATGTGTGATATGTGAATTCTCTTCTCTTTTACATTGGATTAAAAAACAATGAATGAATTCACTGATTTTTTCTAACCTGATTTTCACAAAGCCTGATGCTAAGCTCTGGGCTTCTCCTTCCTTCTTCATCCATGATGTGGGAAGATAGAATGAGTGGATACTGAGTACATGACCCACCTCACCAACTCACATGGAGCTTTTCATATGCCAGGGAAAATACACAGCCTGTACCTCTTTCCCCAGGTGCCTGTCCCCTTTCATCTAGAATACGCAGGTGTGCCTTGAAAACAAGGCAGCAAGAAGAGGGATTAACACTTCCTGGGTGTCGGCAGAATGATGGAGACCAGATCCATTGCCTTGCCTCCTCTCAAAGAGTGACTCAAGGCCTGTAGAAGCCCACAGGGCCCAGTGGGACTTGGGTTTACACACACACACACACACACACACACACACACAGTGCTCTGAATCTAATAACAGAATGCCAGCTGTGTCCGTCGCCTGCCTATGCCTGCCACTCACCATTGCCCTACACTTCCAAACAGTGCCCAATGCTGGTGTGCATTGTGCAAACGCCTGGCCACACAGGCAGATAGGGAGGGGCCACTTATCCCAGAGGAGTTATCTGCCAGAAGTGTGTTCTCCAAGATCCAACCAGTCAAAGATAGGCAACTCAGACAAGTCCATAGAGCCAGACATGCTGAGCAGCCACTGCACCTAGGAACGCAGACTCTCCCAGGTAGCCCCACTTAGAAAAAAGTAACTCCATGCACTCCTAGTTTCCTGCTGGAGCCCTCAGACACTGTGTGCTGGGGTGCCACACACCTGCCATCCCCCCAAGATTGAGAGTCACACAGTGTTACTATTGTCTGTTTCTGTGGCTCAGTATGTCCTTATACCATTGTGTCATGACCCTCAGTGGCCAGCCACTCACTCTAAAGCCAGTCTATGACAACATTCTTCATGCCGGTGACAGATGTAGCCTTATAGCCATGATCAGAGTTACCCATCAGGTGAGGTGTCCCCTAGGGGACCTCTTCTCAGAGGAAAGAGACCTAAGGAGTTTTAGGTAGGACCCTACAATCATCTAATGATTGGAAACAATCATTGCCAACCTTTGGTGGCTGTTGCAGATCTCTGAGCTACGTATGAGCCACTCACAGTGAATACTATCTGCATGCCAAGGGGGTATCCAAACTCCCGTGCCTCTTCTAGAACTTTAAACTAGGCTACTAGTAAAGACCTGTGTGGCCAAGTAGAAGGGGCTAGCTCTTCTACTCCTAGGAACCGCTTGCACCACTATGCAGATCAAAGACAGCCACAGCCATGCTTTCTGTGGCCCAGGTCCTCTCAGTTTAACTTCGTCACCAATGCTCTTCAGCCCCTGTACTTACCCTCTCCTCCCTGGTGCACTCTACAGTGCAGGCAGCTCAGTCTCCAAAACACTCTCCGAGGCTCAGCCTTGAGAAGCAGCAGGTAGTCCGTAGCAGTGTGGCAGTGTGGCAGTGACCTGTATAGTCCTTCCAGCGCTAGGTCAGCCAGGGTCATGTGTGTCTGCATCTATACCCTAAAGACCTATCCTCGGCTCTTCACCGGGTTGAGCCCCTTTGTCTCAGGACTCTGGGACACACGGAGGTGGCAATTGCTGGTGGCAGCAGTGAAAGGGATCTTGAGAAAAGGAGAGCAGTCCATGTTGACCCCCCATCAGCCCTGCCACACTGTGGCCCAGCATGACTTGTACAGAGCCTGAGGAAGTACGGAGGAAAGGCCAGGCCATTAGGATGAACACAGAGGCAGCAAGGACGTGGAGCATGAGGTTGACCAGATAGCCTCTGAGGCCTGGGATAATTAGGATTTATGGCGTCTCTAGGGGACACACTTGAAAGCTATTTCTACACCTAACAAAGACAGCAAGATGCACGTGTGGGGGAAGTTACCTAAGCATTGAGTGAGCATGTGTGGGTTTAAAGGACCTCAGCCCAGACCCTCTGTGTGGCCAGTACGTTGCCTTCTCTCCTCCTAGGCTTGCTCAGACCATAGAAGTGCAAGGCCTTAGGACCTCAGATCACATGACCCATCTGTGGTAAAGGAACCCTGAACTCTGGTTCAGCTTTAGGGCCCCAGTGTAACCTGCACACTGTGGATTGTTTCTTGGCTTTCAAGGCCTTAAGCGTTCGAAATGCAAGCACAGCTGTGTAGAAGGGTCTCCTGGGGAGGTGTTTCTCTAGCCCTAGCCATGCTAAGCCTCAGCGGAATTTTAGGCCTCATCTACCTCCATCTTGTTTTGCAGACTAGGAGGCCAAGGGCTTGAGAGGCTCAGGATATTTGCCTGTCAGTGGCGAGCAGGGTACCCAGGTCCCTTTGCTCCCTGCTAGTGTTCTGCCCACTCCCCCAGCCGCTGTCCCGGACCTCTTTGGGCAACCTACTATCTTACCAGACATTGGTACACCTCTACCGCCTGCACCCGGTGCGCCCAAGGGACCAGTCTCAAGGGGCTTGGCAGCTGGCTTTTGCAGAAGTCAGTGGGGAGGCAACAGAGCTCACTGCCCTGCCACAGCCCCAGCCAGGCCAGGCTCGGTGAGGGAAGCTGGCTTAAGGAGAGCAGCCACACTGGGGTGGCCAAGTCAGTGGCCTCTGAGAACCCCGCCTCCTGACCTAACACTCTGGGTGTTTTTTTCCTCCCGGCCTCAGTTCTGTATCGGTTTGTTCTCGCTTCATCTTATCTGTTTCCTTCCAGGTCCAGCTATAGGGAGCGGCTGCAATGGTTTTGTATTTCTGTAGACACCAGATATAAACATACTGATATATTTGTGTCCCTCCCCTGCTCCCCACCCCAGTTCACAAGCCCGATGCACACTCTACACGCAGGCCACTCTGACCTCTGACCCCGTGTTCCATGTGGCAGGAGGGCACCCCCGCCCCGGGTCAGGCCCCAGGTCATGGCTGCTGGCTGTCTGTGGCGGAAGTCCTTGGTTGTTTCCCTCTCCCCTTCCCAGCTCTAACCATTCTGTCCGTCTATCTCGTCTCGTCTTCAGTTTCAAAGCAATGTCATGAAGGGCTTTCCCCCTTCCATGCCTAAAAGGAAACAATATGCTTTTTGAAGAGGTTGGGGTTGTGGGGAACATGGGCGGCCTTCCAAGGCCCTGGGTCTTCAAGACATGCTCAGAAGGATGCCTAGTGATTGACTAGGACGGCAGCCAATCAGGAGCCTTTGAGCTTCAACCCGAAAGAGATTCTCCCCATGTGAGGCAGTAGGTGCTGCTTGTCAGGGCATGCTGGCACCCTTTGGTGTAGACACCAGGTCCAGCAGGTAACTGAACCGTATTGTTTCCCTTTATGGCTAGTCCTGGTCCTTGTCCCCATCCACGGCTCATGCTTTTTGATTTGCATCTTTTTTGCATGGACATGCCGAGTAGTGATAAGCAGGGTTTTCTGTTCTCTGGGGCGCCTCTGGTCAGACCCTTCTCTTTCAGATCCTGTGTCAGGTCATTAGGTTCAGGTGTGTCATTGCTGTGTCCTTTGAGTCCTAAGAGGAAGGGCGTGACTGAGGTGTACAGGGAGCTCTGTTCCTGTGAGGAAGCGGCAGTGGCCGCAGGGGTGGCAGGTGAGGACACCCTGGTCTCTGTGCCTTAGGTCAGTGCAGGATGGCAGCCAGGGCGGCCGGGAGAAGTTGGAGCTGGTGCTCTCGAACCTGCAGGCTGACGTACTGGAGTTACTGCTGGAATTCGTCTACACCGGTTCTCTGGTCATCGACTCAGCCAACGCCAAGACTCTGCTTGAGGCGGCCAGCAAGTTCCAATTTCACACCTTCTGCAAAGTCTGCGTGTCCTTTCTCGGTGAGCTGACCAATGGGCCTTTACCTCCCATGGAGAAAATGGCACAGATCCATGAAAAATTCCCAGCCAGCAAGAATTGAGCGAGGAGGGCTGTGTGTCCCCAGATCATGCCAGGGTATCTAGATTTCACCTGAGCATGTAGGTGGCTTGGTGGAATGGCAGGCACTGAAGGGGTCACTGTGGCTTTGCCCAGAACCAGTGGCCACTACAATGTGTACACAGCCTGTGCAGGCAGGGAACCTGACAACCTTCCCTGAGCTCTAAACCCCGAATGAATGAACCTTGCAATCTATTCCCCTTTGATGTGTCGGTTCCCAGCTACAGAGATGCATGGACAAGCCAGTGCATCCGATCCAACCCTTGTTATATTAGCGATGGGCTCACCTCCCACACTTCCTGCCCAGAGCATGCTCACTTTACAGCTTGGTGCTGCTGCTCAGCTGGGCTGGGAGTTGTGGAGTAAGGCGACAAGGACAGCATCACACAAAACCCCAGAGCCTGGGATGCAGAAAGAACAGCTGGAGGTGGTGAGCAGATCAGATGAGAACTGCTGAAGGAGCCAGTCAACCTGGGGGGGTCAGGAGCCATGGAGGCGGAAATGAGACACACGCCCAGTTCTAGCCCGAAAGAGCCATTAGCCAGATTTCAGAAGAGCCAGCCACCAGACCCCAGGTAGACTAGGGGAATCTAAGGACCGTGGGAGACAGTGGATTGATATATGAGGGCTGCTGTTCATGAGACTTAAAGGTGTCTGTGACATCGACATGCCTGCCATGATGGAAGACACTGTAGGTTTCAAAGTGGCCGCTCCCCACAGCCCAGGACCAAACCCTGATGCTCCAGGTCAGGGAAGAAGCTCAATCATTCCCTCACAGCTGTGGGTTTTTGTTGTTGTTGTTTACTACGGTCTGCGGGTGATAGAATGGGCCCTGGGGTGTCCACATGAATCAGGGCAGAGGAAAACCTGGGAAATGGATCTGAGACTCAGGGTCACAGGAGGTAGGCTGACAATGACGGCAGGTACTGGAGGCAGGGTCACAAGGAAATGGATCGGGTCCTGAGGAAGATCTAGGGATGATGGTGGGAGCGAGAGGCGATCCTTCCAGGACCCCCGGATCAGTGACCATTCATTCTTACCCCCAGAGAAGCAGCTGACGGCCAGCAACTGCCTGGGCGTGCTGGCCATGGCTGAGGCCATGCAGTGCAGCGAGCTCTACCACATGGCCAAGGCCTTCGCGCTGCAGATCTTCCCCGAGGTGGCAGCCCAAGAGGAGATCCTTAGCATCTCTAAGGATGACTTTATCGCCTACGTCTCCAATGACAGTCTCAACACCAAGGCCGAGGAGCTGGTCTATGAAACTGTCATCAAGTGGATCAAGAAGGACCCAGCGGCACGTGCGCAGGTAGGACCTGCTCCACCCAGTCCCTGCAGGGGTGGGTTCCGCTGCAAAGACGGAGGAAGGTGAAGCCAGCAGGGCCGCATGTCCCAACAGCAGGGAGCGTACAGGAGTCAGAAATTAACAAGAGTGAGTCTAGTACACATGCACATTCGCCTCCACACAGAGTGGGGGCTCTTAAGGACTTCCACTCTTAGCCCGAGTCTCCAGTTTGCCACGGCAACACAGGGTCTGGGTGGGGAAGTACCTGGGCTCTTCACAGAAAAGTAAGTGCCTGAACAGGGTGTATGAAACCCTAGATCAGAGCACATACTCTAGCTATCAAATGGGTGGAGGGCACACAGAAACCATTCTGGAAGTGGGACACTGCTGTGTGTGTGTGTGTGTGTGTGTGTGTGTGTGTGTGTGTGTGTGTCAGGAGAGGACATGAGGTTATCAGAGGGGACAGAAAAACCAGAGTGTTTACTCACAGGAGAAAAAAAAGACGGTATTCCAGATAGTGACCAGAGTCTCAGGGAGTCTGTAAGAAGGTCTGTTCATACCCAGGAAGCCCCAACTGGAGGCCCTGTGCAGAAGGGAATTGCCATTGGCTATTGTAGCGAGGGGCCTGAAAGTTTTGGCGACTGCAGGAAGCCCTTGGGAGGACCAGAACAGAAAACAGCAAATGGGAAGTTGGTAGATGTAAAAGTCTAACCAGTTAGTGTGACAGAGTCAGGGAAGCCAGACCCCAGAACACGCTGAAGTCACCAAGTGATGGTCCGAAAGGCTGTCACATTTCATTGGGCATAAAAGGGCACGGTCAACACATGCCTGTCATTACAGCACTTGGAGGTAGAGGCAGGAGGGTTAGGGATTCAAGGCCAGACTTGACTTCAGTTTGAGCTTCAAGAAACTCTGACTCAAGGGAGGGCAGGGGAAGGGAGGGAGAGGGAGGGGGGAAGGACGGGGAGGGGTGCGGGGAAAGGAAAGATTGGAGATAAGAATGAAGAAGATATAGAATACAGAGATGGCTCCCTGCCCACCTCAACCCTACCACTGAGTTCTCGGGGTCTGTGAGAAGTATGTTCCTCATTTGATCAGGTTGGCAGGAAGCAAGGGTTTTTTTTTTGTTTGTTTGTTTGTTTGCTTGTTTGTTTTGTTTGTTTGTTTTGGGGGGATTGTTTTTGGTTTTGGTTTTTAGAGACAAGGTTTCGCAAATATTTTTTAACAGAGAAAGGAACTGGAGTTGTGTGGATAATGACAGTAACTGCCCACAGTTCTCTGTAACCCTCGAGTCTACATCCACAGCCTAGAGTGTGGTATGAGCTCACCTAGGCACACCCAGAGACCCTGGTCTCACTGCTTCCCGTCTGCTGCTGAGTGCTACACACCCCTCTAAAAAGACCCTTTGCACCCAAGAACAAGCCCTGTGTACTTCAAATGTCACATCCCTTCTCACTCTCCCGCGCCTCTGGGTGTCCCCTACCCCCCACCACTCTTCCACCTCAAACACCGTCTCCCCTGTGACACCTCTCACTTCGGCAGCCCTGGCTAGGCTCCTATCAGAAGCAGGGTCTCATCAGCCTCCACGGCAGCAGTAACAAGCTTAGCATACGGTATATACCGGCTCCTAGCTACTCCTGCCAGTCATTCTCCGGACGAAACAAAAGTGGGTGGAGTGGTGAGCGGTTTTCCTGTCGCGGGGGAGTTCACATCAACTCAGGAGAAGCCTTGCGTGAAGGCTAAGGGGGTCCAGAAGCCGAGGTAACACAGGGTGACACTGCTAAGGAGCTGTAGTGCTAAGGACACACATGTGCCACAGCCACCCGACAGTCATCAACTCGTTCAACATCTTCTGGGTCCTCCCACCTGGCCCCTGTAGCACTCACACCTCTTCAAGACACAAGACTCCTGCACTCGTGGTCCCAGCCAGGCATGACGTGCAGTCGGGATCTACAGCCTAGATGGAGAGGAGACAAGAGGCTGGAGGGGTAGAGAGATAGGCTACTCTGGGGCCAGCTGCAGCCACCACATCTCCAGTTAGCCCCCCGTACCCCGCCCCCAGCATGCCAGGCTGGGTAGTGTGCACTTCTAAGACACGCGCCCAGATGGGGAGTCTCCTTCTCCATTCGACTCACAAGAGGTGGCTTCCTCTAAGCAGAATCGGCCTCTTCTATCCCACAGTACGCAGCAGAGCTCCTAGCTGCCGTCCGCCTCCCCTTCATCCACCCCAGCTATCTGCTCAATGTGGTGGACAATGAAGAGCTGATCAAGTCATCGGAAGCATGCCGGGACCTGGTCAATGAGGCTAAACGCTACCACATGCTACCCCATGCCCGGCAGGAGATGCAGACACCCCGCACCCGGCCCCGCCTCTCTGCAGGTATCAAGGGACATGCCCAAATCCCCAAATTGCAGATGCCATGGAATCAGCTGGCTCCAGGTGGTCCCCCAGACAGGATGCTGACGAAGTAAGGGTGTGTCCCAAGGATGCCCATCCGTGTCCCTGCAGGTGTGGCCGAGGTCATCGTTTTGGTTGGGGGCCGTCAGATGGTGGGAATGACCCAGCGCTCGCTGGTTGCTGTCACCTGCTGGAACCCACAGAACAACAAGTGGTACCCCTTGGCCTCCCTGCCTTTCTATGACCGAGAGTTCTTCAGTGTTGTGAGTGCCGGAGACAACATCTACCTCTCAGGTGAGGCTCCCAAGGGCTGGGCAGGAACCGGGATGGGTTCCCCAAAGGGACCTCTGACTTGGGACTGAAGGCCAAGGCTCCAGAGCATCTTACCTGGTTTGCGGCTGAGGTCTGCTTCTGTCTCTGGAGCAGGGTACCCTGTCCTCAAGCCCTTCCTCAGCCCCCGCTTGCTCTTTGCACCCCCATGCTGTCCACAGGTGGTATGGAATCAGGGGTGACGCTGGCTGATGTCTGGTGCTACATGTCCCTGTTGGATAACTGGAACCTGGTCTCCAGAATGACTGTCCCTCGCTGTCGTCACAATAGTCTCGTCTATGATGGGAAGATTTACACACTTGGGGGACTTGGAGTGGCAGGCAACGTGGACCACGTGGAGAGGTAAGGCAGCCACAGTCCCTGAGCTGGCATCTCTCAGAGCCACTGAACACTAACCACAGCCCTCCTCCCCTCCCAACACCTACCTGATACCAGTGGATTATGGACTGGCCCATTCCAGGCCCTAGAGCCAATCCTGGATGGGCATGAGTGAGCTTGGCTAGGGGTGCACCATAGGTTGGGAGTACCAGCCCAGAGGCATACCAGATTTCATGAGAAAAGCTGGAATCAACATCCCAAGTATGAGCCATGCCGGCTGTGGTGCCGCTTTGCCCTTCCAAGTAAGGGTTGCACACATCCTTCCTGCATCCCACACGTGCCAGGTAAACTGGGACCAACATAGGGAAGAGGCACCGCCCACCAACTAAGCAATGTAGGTGCACAGTCTGGCTGGCCCTCGGGAATTCTCCAGAGGAAAACTATGAGCCATTGAGTTCCAGACTGGAGGTTAGTCTGCCCTTTGTTACAAGTCCCAGGCTATTGAGGATGTGGTGTAAGTCAGACATAGGCCTGAGGGCCGGAGGCTGGAGTGGGGGTACTGCCCCAGGGGAAAATGTCAAGACCCTTTCCTCCAAGGCAGGGAGACTACTCTTGTAAGACAATGGACAGGTCACCCTGAGAAAGATGCTTGGGACCTGTGGGAGGGGACCATTAGTTAGCAGCACAGGAAGACCTCAGTGTCCCAGAGAATGACACAAGGCTGACCTGGCCTCAGGTAACAGCCCTAGTTATGATCAGTAAATCACCAACTCTTCCCTCTTTCCCCTACCCTGGCCCACACCATTAGCTGCCACCAACAAGCACACTTTGCAGCATGACATCCTTTCTGCCTGTGAAGCCACACAAACCCCTCAATTTGAATTTTTTTTCCCACTGGGTGGCTAATTGGACACTTGATGAATGTTCCAGCAAGGACAGTTTCAGAGTGAGACAGGCTCTGAGTGTTCACTGTGGGCTTTTAAGTCCCCCAAGTGGAGCCAGAGATGGCTTGGTAACAACATTTAATTGTCATATTGATTTGATGATAATGGGAAATCCCCGGGTGATTATGAGCATATTAATACTGCGCTTGGACCCAGACCAGCCCTAACACTGGGGGTCTTCAGCATAACCTGCCGCATGTCCAGGTATCCCCTGGGCTCCCCCAGAAGCATCAGCTTCCAGTCGTTTGTCACCCAGTAATAAACACATGAGCAAGAAGACATCTTCTATGTAGGAGTCCGCTGAGCTGGATGCCATCCTGCTTTGCTTCTGTCAGCTATTTTTAATCTCCTAAGATGCTGATTACTCATTTTGCAAAGTTCTACTTGTTGATAAATACAGGGATTTGTTGAAAGATCAAACGCATTGACGGGGAGAGCGAGCTATGAATTCCCCGCTCCTGTCCTCTTGCTTTCCTAGGACCCTGAAGCAGTTCTGAGGCCCCAGGGGGCTGCCTGTACTGGTCTTCCCTAAGGAGCTCAACCTCTCAGATGGCTGGAACATAAATATCAGCTCCAGGCACCTGAGAGTTAACTCCAACCCCAGGAGGCCCACTGAATTGAAAGAGCAGCCGGGGATCACAGAAAAGCCTGAGGGACCCCAAAGAACCCTCAGCCCGTGAAGATATTTCATCTGTGCTCGTAGGGTCGGACAAAGACTGGGAGAATCCTCAAGCTGTACCCATGCAAGGGAGTAGAGCATGTAGAGGTGTAGGCACCCACTAGCTACCTAAGGAGCAGGCCCCTTTGGGTAAGTCTCTGTGCCACATGGCAGCAGTGATGAGAATTCAGGGTGACAGGAAGGCCCGTGTAATGGGGACAGACATGAGGGTTCCTTGTCCCACAGTAAGCACTAATGGTACAAATTGCTATTATATTGATAATGAATGAGATATACGGTGTATTATAATTATATTACATTACTGTGTTACAGGAATAGAGTAGGATTACATAATTATAGATTAAAACAACAGCGCCATAGACAAACCTGTATTATATCATTATATAAATAACTGGGTCTAATATTTTACAGCAATATATTGCAGGAGCTGTGGTTACTGCATAAATGATAGTGGAACGCCTCAACTCAGCTAGGTCATTTGCATGTCATTAGCATATCCTTCTCAAGCAGGAAGCTGACAGATTGAGCTGACGGGAGGGCTCATGGCTTGGCAATCAGCCACCTGGAATAACAAACTCTCAGGAAATTTGTGTTTGGCGGAATGTGTCATTATGCCGAAAGACTGAGGACTAACAACCACATAATCTTTCTCATCCCCCAGCTCTTTCTGTGGGAGCGTTTTGGCTTGCTGCCATATTGGTTTCAAAAACAGATATCTGAACTCTGACACTGCCCCATTGCGTATTAGCTATGTATCAGCCGCCTATGACTGAATGGCATCAGCCCTTGCTCCCCCATAAGAGACTTTGGCTTCTTCTTCTAGCCAAGTTCAGAAGTGGATGTCACTTGGCTGTCCCCTCCCCACACATTCAAGAACCAGATACATGGTCCACATAAGACCCTCTTCCCAGAGGACCCACCTCTGAGCTAATGATGGCTCTTGTCCAAAGGAGGCTCACGGGGGAACGTGGGAGCTGTGTACTGGTCATAACCATATGCTAACCAAAATCCCTGGTGTCACAGTGAGCAAACTCAGGCCCATGCAGAGCAGAGCAAAGTGTGGGAAGGCACGAATGTGCCCGGCTGGTGGTCTTCAGGAAGTGTTGGGGCAGCTACAGGTCAAGCAGGAGCGCTGAGGGCAGCTAGGTCCTTGGATCTCTGAACAGAAATGCCAGCCAGTGGGTTGATGGAGCTTGTCCTCCAAAACGCAAACCTCGGGGACCACAAACAGCCCCTTGCCACTTAGCTCCAATTCTCCAGCGGTTCCCTGCCTCCTCTCCCTGCATCGTCTCGCTTTGCTCCTTCTGTATGTGGAGCAGATCTGTTCAGCCCGACTCTTTGCCTTCTCCCCTCTCTCCCTGGGGCTGGAAAATCCTGGCATCCTATAGTGGTCCTACTATACACTGGAGACTAACCCTCCAGCCAGCCCTACACACTGCAAAGTACCCTTGAGTCTGCCTTAGCAACCATTTCCCGTCAAAAGCAAGTGCTCTCCTCTCTCCTCAAAGCCCAGATCCCGCATACAGGCTCCCTGACTACTTTGGGCCACACCACCTCCTCCTTACCAGAGTAAGTGGGACCATGGACTGAGAACTCAAATGTCCCGAAGGTACAGTGTTTGCTTAGAATATAGGTGAGTTTGATTCCCGGCGCTCCATAAAGTGGGGATCGCTGTCCACATTTATGAGGGCACCACTGGGGAGATCTCAGTGGTTATACTCATCCTTGGCTACTTAGAAAGTACCAGGATCAGCCTGGGATTCACGTGTCCCTTCCTCAACTAAAAGAAAGAAAAGCCCCTTTGTCTCTCTGGTAACTCCAGCCACGCCTGCAGCTGTGACTTCCACCTTGCTTCCTCCCGTCCTCCTGCACACAGCTCCTTCTGCTTTAATTGGTGTCTACTGTATCTGCCAGAAACCTTACAGGACCCAGGGGCCTTCGGTTCTTTGTCCCATCCTACAAGGGCAAATAACAGATCCCCATGGGATGAGGGAGGGCTCAGGGCTCTTCAGAGTTCCCTGTGGTCCCCAACTGTGTGTCCTCTCTCTTCTGTCTCTCCCTCCCTCCCTCCCTCCCTCTCTCTTACTGTCTCTCCCCTCTCCTGTGGCATCAGCACCACAAACAAGTCCGAGATATCAGGAAATGAAAGACAAGGCGTCCAATCGTTTGTGCTAAGAGGATGTGCCTGCCACCTTTATTGCAAGAGAGAGCATGCGTGCGTGTGTGCACATGTGTGCCGTAAGGAGGGAGCAGCCTTATATACAGACTTACAGTACAGTGGAAAAGCCCCAGGTGTAAGAGCTTGTGTTTTCCTCATGCTAGGTATTGATATCAGGTGGGCCAGGCCGGGCCGTAAGCCAGGACTAGAGAGCAGGATGCACCTGTGGTTATCAGCTGACAAGCAATGCTCAGAGATCCGTGGGGGCTGGGGCCCAACACTCTCCCCCTCTTCCTCTCTCTCAGTAGGATCCATGTTACCCAGGCTGGCCTTGAACTCCTGGCTCAGCATCTGAGTGCTGGAACTCAGTTGTGCATCATCCTCTCTTGCTTATACTGCAAAGTCCCCTTGGTACCCACAGGGGACCAGTTCCGGGATGCCTGCAGACCCACATCTGCAAGTGCTCAAGTCCTCATATAAAATGGCATAGTATCTACATACAAATACCTGTGCACAGCCTGCTGTAGTCTCCAGGCACTTCAGATCATTTCACACACCACTTACAATACCTAATAGAGAGCAAGTGCTATGTAAGGAGCTGTTACGCTGTATCACTTTTGGAAATAATGGAAAATCTGTACATGTTCGATACAGATACAGTTTTTCAGCTACTTCCTATGTGCAAGTGACTGCATCTACCAATGCAGAATGCACAGATTTGGAGTCTTGCTGTTTAGTTAACTTGTGCAAGTGACTGCATCTGCAGATGCAGAATGCACAGATTTGGAGTCTGGCTGTTTAGTTAACTTGTGCAAGTGACTGCATCTGCAGATGCAGAATGCACAGATTTGGAGTCTGGCTATTTAGTTAACTTTTGCTTATTCCCATGGGCTTCACCCTATCCACACAAAAATGTACTTAACACCCCTCTTCCCCGTGCGCCAGAGTCCATTTCAGTGGGCTCAGAAGAAGCAATTAATAACATTTGGAGAACTGTGCAACCCAGTTATTATTAAAAATTAGAATTCCATCTTAACAGTCCTCACGATTCATCAATTCCTGGCTAGCCAGCGTATTTCCCTGTTCTCTGCTTGAGGTTTTACATGACTGTTGGAGCTGCATGTGGGAAGAGTCTAGATAGCAGTGACCACAGAGAGGGGCTTCTCCTGGCCCCCCACATCCTGCTGGCTGATAGGGTCAGGCAGGTAGAAGGGTTTACATCACAGAAACCAGCAGGTGTTACCAGGATGTTTTCCTTACAGAGGTGGCTGATGATAAACACTAGTGAGCATTCTACTACCAACCCCACCTCACCCCGAGGATTCTGTGTTCCTTTCTAAGTACCCCCATCTCTGCCTTCTCCGCGGCTCAGTTTCTTCAGAGAGAAGTCTGCGTCTGCTGCCTCTGTCCCCAGTGCACTCCCCGCTTCCACTCTGACACACAACGCCTTGTGAACATCTCACTTCCCCTGTAGTGCCAACAACCTCAAGGGACACCATGGCCTGCTCAGGACTTCATGCCTTCACTCCCACCACCCACTCTTGAGGCCCTTCGTCTTCTATAGCCTAGGTGCCGACTGATGACCCTGCACTGACTGCCCCCAAAGAGGGCTCTCCTCCCCTCCCAGCCAACCCTCCCCAGAGTGTGCGCTCAACATCAGAACTACCTGCACTCCCCGGTGCACCCCTTAGCTCTCGTTTCCATCTCGGTGCTGGCGGCCCCAAGGCTAACTACTCAACCCAGATCTACATGTCCAGCTGCCCCCTCACGCATCACCATACCACAGCATCCTTCATGATCACTGGATTTTTTTCTCACTTGATGTGGATGTCCTCCTCACTGGGCCAGCAGCTCCTTGAAGCAACAATGGTCTCCCCCAGTGGATTCTGTGTGCACCATCACCACAGGGATGCTCACTCTGTAAGCCAGGGCAGGATCTACACAGAAGTTGGACAGGCAGCAAAAGGCCCCACTGCAGTTCGAAAGGAAGCCTGTAGAGCCAGTTTGGAGTGATGCCTGGAAGTAGCTCAAGCCTGGGTCCCCATCTGTGGGCTTAGGCTATGCCAGTGATGCAGGATCCCCCCAAGTGCTGCTGCCCCGGGCTATGGCCTACATTGCACAAGGACTATCTCTTTCTCCTTTCACAGGTATGACACTATCACTAACCAGTGGGAGGCAGTAGCCCCTCTGCCCAAGGCAGTGCATTCAGCAGCGGCCACTGTGTGTGGTGGCAAGGTCTACGTGTTTGGTGGGGTCAACGAGGCAGGCCGAGCTGCAGGTGTCCTTCAGTCCTATGTGCCACAGACCAACACATGGAGCTTCATTGAGTCCCCAATGATAGGTAAGAATCCCCAGTCCAGGCCAGTGGGACCCTCACAGTCCCACATCCCAGATAGAGACAGGCTAAATCCAAAGAGTCTGCAGAGCCAGGTCTAGTGGTAAGTAGTAGGTAGCCCCAAAGCCAGGTGCAGTGGGGATGCCAGCGCCGAGAAAAGAGCAAGTCAATCAAGACTGGGGACGCTCCTGGTCCCCAGCCTGTCCTCAGGGGAATCAGTGACATTGGAAACACTGCTGGGAAAGAGAGAGGAGGGAGGCCAAGACCACAAACATTGAGCACCTGTACTTCCGTCCTCACAGACAACAAGTACGCACCTGCTGTCACCCTCAATGGCTTTGTGTTCATCCTGGGAGGCGCGTATGCCAGAGCCACCACCATCTACGACCCAGAAAAGGGCAACATCAAGGCAGGCCCGAACATGAATCACTCTCGCCAGTTCTGCAGGTAAGGAGGGGGTTGTGGAGGAGTGGGGACAAGGGAGGGGTGCATGGGTGAGCCCACGGGCAGCAGTGTGATTGCAAGGCTCAACCCTCCCCAAGCCAGAATGATTGCAACCATCCCCCACCCACAGAAATGGATGTCAGGGCTCGAGTGCAGGGTGGAGCCCATAAGAGTGGCTGTGACAGGGTCCTGTGGTAGCAGCTGGCCCAGGATCCCCAAACTGTGGTTCCACAAGACCTCATTGAGCCCACACTGGAAGAGACATCAAAGCCACCCTCTCTTCAGTGAGAAGCAAGGCCAGCTGTCCCCCAGGGTGCCTTCCAGAGGCATGTAGGGACAACTGACCTCTGAGGGGGATGTTCTAGTCTCATGTGTGCAAGAGCACAAGCTACATCCGCCCCAGAGTCTCAAAGGCTCACTGACTAGCTGAAAGCCAGTGGAGAAAGAAGAGGAGGGACACAGATCGGCTCCCAGCACCCTGCCGCCCGGTCTGTGAGGCACCAGCCCCGGCACTTCTGGTCTCCTCCTTTACCAGTCTAAAAGGAACGTGAGTAAGGGAGACCTCAGATACACCATGTGCAGGGCCACAGAGGCTCTTCCCGAGACACCTTGTTGTCTATGCAGAGGCAATGACTACGTTTTCAGTTATCAATAACAAGAAGCATTTATTGAATACCTGTTGTTCGTATAGTTACCACAGAAGGTATCTCTCACTACTAACATGTTGCTACAACTTGGGTAAGTAGTTTCCCCAGCTCTAGAAAATCCTACCTCCTCCGGTGTTTAGACCAGAGAACGGCGAGGCTCCTGGTGGAATTCAGATTCCTCAGGTTTTGAACTATTCTTCAGCTACACAATCGAAATCTCTGTCTGGCTTTTCTGTCACTGACAGTGATATTTGGACTACTGAGTTGATGAGGAAGAGGCTTCACCTGAGACTACAAATAACAAGGGACACTGAGTGTCAGGAGTGGATGGAAGCTGACTTTTGTGAGAGAAACAGGGAGCTAGTCGGCCATTGGGGGGGGGCACATACAAAAGCCCAGAGTAGCAAGGAAGTGGAGAGGAGCACCACGGGAGCCTGATAAGAAATCTGGATTTGGGATATGTTCTGATCAAGACCTTGCAAAAAATGTGCAGAGCCTTGGAAGACTTCTGGATCTATTTTCAAGAAATAGTCGAAAAGAATTGACCATTTGATAGAGTAAAGGAGAAGTCAGGGCTAGCAACAGGGCTAGGAGCAACAGCTGAAATGCATTAAGAATTAAGTGCAGCAACTAACCGATGGGCCAGGCTCCTGGAGTACAATCGAAGGGAGGGAGGAGTGAAAATATGAACAAAGGAGTCACGGCCATGATGGGGAGACCCACAGAATCAGCTGACCCGAGCTAGTGAGAGATCACTGACTCAGGTCTGACAAATGGGGAACCTGCATGAGACCGAACTAGACTCCCTTAACATAGGTGACAGTGGTGCAACTGGGACAATATGTGAGGCCACTGGCAGTGGGTCCAAGATCTAACACTAATGCACAGACTGACTTAGTGGAGCCCATTCTAAATGGAGAGATGTCTTGCCCAGCCTAGACACAGGGGCGTGGGGGTGGAGAGATGCCTTGGTCCTGCCTCAAGGAGATGATGGGACAGACTTAGACTTCCTAGAGGAGGCCTTACCCTCTCTATGGAGCAGATGGGAGGAGGGGGGAATGGCAGGAGCAGGAGGAGAGGAGGGAGGGGGAACTGGGATTGGAATGTAAAAAGTAAATTAATAAAAAGAATTAAGTGCAGGGCTGGAGAGATGACTTGGTGGATAAGAGCACTTCATGCTCTTGCAGAGGACCTGTGTTCAATTCCCAGCACCCAGATAGAGGTTCACAAGTATCTGTAATTCCAGTTCCAGGAGGGATTCAGTGCCCTCTTCTGACCTCTGCAGACACTGGGCATGCATGCTGTGCAATACACACCTCCAGGAAAGACATAAAATAAATGAAGTTAATTCAAGGAAACTTTAAAGAAGTCCAGAAAGAGCAGGACACTGGGCTTTTGGAAGCGCTGACTGGCATAGCAGGTCCCAGTCTGCGAGTGTCACTCAGGCAACAGGTCCAGGCAGAGCTGTCGGTGACCCTGCAGAACGTGCAGCCCTTGAGTCACAGGTAGAGGCAGCCTAGGTCACATGTGCTGAGGAGACAGGAAGAAGGTGAGATTCTTAGGTCCCTGGACAGAGGGGAAGAGTTCCCCATCCCAGGGCCCCTACTTGGTTAGACCTGACCCATTGTTCTGTCTCTTGGCATTTTGAGTCATGTGCCCAACTCAGAAGATTCTGTACACACAGCAGGCAAAAAAGGCTCAGTAAAGGCCCAGAGTTGGGCAGGCCCTGTGTAAGAAGCAACCCCCTTTGCAGCTGTCCGTAGTCTCTCGGCAGAGCTGGGAGAAGCAGCTAAGGAAAATGAACATATCTCCCCTCAGAACAGTACCACGTGACACCCCTAGTATTCCTGTAGAAAAATGTCATTGTTTTGTTGTTTATTGGCCCAGGTTAGGTGGCTAAGAAGATCCCACCCAACCTGTGCAAGAGTGTCTAGGGGCCCTCTAACCAGGACAGTGTTGGGACTCTGTCTCCAGAACGAATATGGGAACTCAAGGCCTGACTCTCTGCCCCTCTTTCCCTCTTACAGTGCTGTGGTGCTGGATGGGAAAATTTATGCAACCGGAGGCATCGTGAGCAGCGAGGGACCAGCCCTGGGCAACATGGAAGCCTACGAGCCCACAACCAACACATGGACCCTCCTACCCCACATGCCCTGTCCTGTGTTCAGACACGGCTGTGTCGTGATAAAGAAATATATTCAAAGCGGCTGACATCAGCAGAGAGCCCAGGACAAGCCTATGGGACGAGTTTGGTGAGGCAAATGCCACACACACCATGGTTATCTTTCAACACCAACGAGAGGCCCACAAAACACAAGAAACTCACTGCGCTAACATTTCGAATATTCTCTACATTGAATGTAGAAATTCATCCTCGCCTTTTGGGTGAAGTGGGGCACAGCGCTCGGGCAACAGGAACCTGGAACACACAGCCAAGACGCTTGCTCTCAACAGGGGGCGCTCGCTCTGCCCGGTGCAATAGTCTCACATATTTTTCAACTGGGAGAGAAGCTGTTTTTTTTTTTTTTTTTTCCTTCTTGCAGAGCAAGCTCCATCCCTAAACCACCATAGATCAGTTATCCTGTGACAATACTGGGCATCAGGCTCTTTTTGGAATAAGGTCAAAGTGTCCTTATCACTTTGATTCCTACTTGTTTTTGTTTTTTTTAAACCAATCTACACTTTCAAGTGGCCGAGAGAAAAACGAGGGATGGGACTGTGCAGCACCAGGGCCTAGGAAGGGGCTGTTAGCACCAGGCAGGGGAGAGGACCGGCTGTGTGTGTAGACTGGCAGCCGCAGGGATCGCTGGGGAGAGCCGCGTGGACTTCGCGGGCTTTTCTACCATGTTTTCGCTGCAAAAGGACATGGCGGATGTGTTAGCTTTCTCTTAGCCAGTATGAATTATTTAGATTTCCAAGGCATTTTCTTGATACACAAAAGGCTATTTTTAAGTACTGAGAGGAGGAGGCCACATGAGGGACAGCGCTGTGGGACTTCCCAAAGCTCTTTGTAGGTAGCGCCAGAGGCGGGGCACTTGCTCCCATTTTTTTCTATGTGCAGAGTAGAGGATCTCTCCTGAGGTGGGCCATGCCCCCACTTTATTTTTGGAAAAAGTTAACTCCCAGACAGCCCCGAAAGGCCGTGCCTCGTGGAGGCATTGTCAGCGGCGGAAGGATCTATGCTAGAAGAATGTAGCTCCCTCCGCGAGGTAAAGCTGAACCCAGGCCCAGGAAAGGGACTGAGGGAGGCAGAGGGAAGAAAGAAATGTCCACAAAGCACAGGAGACTATTTTTGATATTTATAGCTATATATTCAAGGCACCTGCCGCGAGAGCTCTCAGGATGGGGACAGCTTTCTTAGACGAGCCATGACAGCCACGGCCTGAGGGGCACGAGGAGACCCCTCTTCTTGTTGCCTTGTACAGTAACCTGAGGAAAGGGAAGCCAAGAGCGAGCTCCCAACGAGGCTCAAAAGAGAAAGGCCTTCCCATTAGTCCTTAGACCCTCAAACCTCACCTGGTCATCAGTTTCCATTCCAGGGCAGGAAGAAGGCCGCCGCCGCCGCCGCCGCCGCCGCCACCACCACCACCGTGCTGTTTAGTTGAAGTTAGTACCAAATACACACCATTTTTCTACCTGGGAAGTCAGCTCGCCATCACTTCATAAGAACCATTGGCAGAGAGAAAAAGAGACAGGACACACTCTCCATCATTCAGTATTGGATGACACAAAATTCCAGTCCTAATGACGGGCATCAACTTCTAGCATTACAAGTGTGGCTCCCACTTGACAAGATACCGAGCTTCGTTATGCAGTTTTTAATATTATTTATTATTTAAAAAAAGTAATAAGCACAAAACTACATACATTGTATGTCATTTAAAAGTATTTATGTCAAACAGGGTGCAAGTGTGAACCCAAGGACTGGAGCACAAACTTCTAACTGCCTGGGGCAGGGCGAATGTGAGCATTGGTGTGCGTCTGCCTCCAAGGGAGGTGTTAGTGGTCAACAGGACTCCACGGATGACACTGAAACTCCGTTTCTCTCCTCATCTAGCACACTGGAGCAAAACTGGCTATTTCTGTGAATGATAGAAAACAGGGTTCTCTGTAACGGTATTGTATATAGTATATGTTTATTGTTTAGTTGTTATATTATAATAAATATATTTATAGATCTAGACCCGGAAGCCAATGCAATGTCTTTGTGTGCCATCGTCTCTGCCTCAGTGTCAATACACCGCTGTGCAAGCCGGTCATTCCCTTTAGTTCCCAAGAGTCTGTGTCCTCTTATAGACGTCCATGCAGGTTTTGAGGATTGGAGAGGACCATTTTGCAAGAGGACAGAGACAGATGAACAGTAAGTAACCAGTAAAGGACAGCTGAAGGCCAAAGTTGAAAGGCTTTATAGACCCAATGAAATTGACCCAGACTGTTCCCTTAGCACTTACATTATCAATTCATCAGCTCAGTGGGAGATACAAGACGCTTCCTCCAGGAAGAAAATCAGGTGTGAGTTTCATGCTAAGACCCAGGTAGAGTGGCCTCCCTGCTTCCGCAGTTGTGCCTGAAGGGTCCTCTAGTCTGCCACACAGACCCTCTTTGCTATGCCCAAGACACGTAGGCAAGGTTTATTTAACATGGGGTGTGGAATGCATCTGTCAGGAAGGAAGTTTAGCAGGAGAGAGTAGATTTTCCAACATCACCCACATGAAGCCGCCATGCCCTTCATCCCCAATAGTCAGAAGAGGAGGCAAGAGGAGGGATTATCCTGAAAACTTGGTTGAAGCCTTGGGATGAGTGGACCATATGTCTACCAAATAAATGTTTCCCTAGGAACATCAATCCTGCAAGAAAGGATGAAGGCTGACTAAAAGATGCCAATTGTGGAGAGTTAAAATAACTTGTGATAAAAGCAGTATGCTAGCTCCATTCTTGTCTGTTTCATTTTTTTTAAATCAAGGCAAATGTTCTCGTGGTTCATGAAGAGTCTTTGTGTTTTAGACCTAACTCTGGTGGTAAATAGATTCCATTCTACCATCAAAAGATAAGCCCACTGAATTAGGAGACCCTGAGAACCGTCAAGGTACAACCACCTGATCTAACAAAGATGATGAGAAGGCAGTCCACGTTGTGTGTGGATTTTTTTTATGAACCTCAATACAAGAGAGCAATCAGGAGAAGTATCTATTGCCTGTGTGATAAAGAGTATCTTCATTAAAGGGACCAGTTAATGCAATTGGAAAATGTTAGTAGAAAAAGGTGTTAAATAAAAGAAATTAATAATAATAATAGTAATAAGGAATAAGGTGCTGGCAAATAGAATTCAAAAGTTTAAAAAAGCCCAACACTGAAACTCAGCAAGGCATGAGCCTATTGTAGCTATTAACTTGTAGCTATTAAGTTGGGGAGCTGTGCTGAGGAGGAGCATGAAACTCTACAGTAGGGCATCAGGCGCCCTGTATTAGAAGCCAAAGAGCACTGAGTAAATCACTTCCAGACAGTCATAAAGAAATGACATGAACTCTAGGAAAATAATGCCAACTATTCTAACAGGGTGTGTGAGAACGATCAGCACTTGTCTGTTGACACTAATGATATGCCAGTCATCACGCTAAGCCCACAAAGCACCGGAATCTCCAAGCTGAGGTACAGAGGACACAAAGACAAAGAAAATTCATATTCGCACAAGACTGTAGCTTAAGATGTGCAGCTATGTGTGACAGATACATATGCATGTGTATAGGTGTGCACAGAAGATTCCACTTTGCAAGACCACCTAGAGCTTCTGAGTTCTAGCAACTCTGAGACCAGGGTCCTTCTTCCCCACTGAGCTACCTCAGAAACCCCTACACTCATACAAATGACTAAGTGTACAGCCCTACTGTTGTACTCATGGAATTGCGAGCATATATTCTTTTCTCTTCAAGAATTTATATAACTACAAGTAATTATATAACCACTTATATAATAAAATTGTAGATATGCTATGCATATGGGTTTTTCTTTTTTCTACAGTGCTAAAGGACCAGAACCCAGGGTTGTGTGTGATGCAACTGCTCTGCCACTATGCCATGTCCCAATGCCTGTGAGGTGCTGCTGTCTTAATGAGAGACAGAAAGCAACGTTTCCCTGAGTATCAGCCTAAGGAAGTGTGTGTGTGTGTGTGTGTGTGTGTGTGTGTGTGTGTGTGTGTACATGTGCATAGACCACCATAAGCAGTCAAAAAATCAAAGTATTCAAAATAAAGTGTCAGACAAAATTAAAAATAAGAAAACATATCACCAAAAGTTCGAATTCTGGAGTATTACCAAGATCCAAGACCCTGCGAAGGCCTCTGATTCCTCCTCATTCTCCTCCTCCCTGTTTCTCTCTCTCTTATCTTTTTACTTTTTATTTTGCGACAGGTCTTATTAAGTTGCCGAGGCTGGCCTTGAACTTACAACCCTCCTGCCTCACCTCATCCTCCCGAGTAGCTATAGCTGTAGGTCCTCGACCTAGGCCGTGATGTGCAGGTCTTTAGGCCACAGGAGCATGCTTGCACGGAGCAGCTGCACACAGCACCTCACTTGTGCTGCCTCGGGAGCACCGGCACCATCACCACACTTTGTAAAGTGAAGGAGGCAACCGGCACAGAGACTGTCAGAGGACATGAACGGGAACGTGAGCTTAGTTCTGCAGAGGACACCCAGGGAAGCCCACTGGGCTGAGTCAGTCCATGGCTGTCAGTGTCCAGGGCCAGCTCGGTGAGCACGGGTAACTCCCTAAGGCATCCCTTGCTCAGCTCTTGACTCCAAAACCAAGTCTCCTTCCTTCCTTCCCATCACCTGTATTTAAATTCAGAAATGTCCACGGCGAGTCTAGCATTTCATTAAAATACCACATGAAAGCAAAAAGGCCTTCTATTTCATACTAGTCTTGTCTAGCATTTCATTAAAATACCACATGAAAGCAAAAAGGCCTTCTATTTCATACTAGTCTTGACATTAACATTTGTGTTAGTCATAAAATCTTGGGACTATGGGGAGAAAGCTTTCTAATAATCTACTTTTGTTGTTGTTGTTGTTTCTGAGGATGACTAAGTTCAATAAACGTGGAAATCAGTACAGCAGACCAGTGATTTGGAATGGAGATTTAACTGTGTGACAAACAAATGCTTCCTTTGAAATGTAGTCCATGAAACAACTTTAGTAACAAATGGTAAAATGCCACTATACACGTGGATGCTCTCTTTTACATGCATAGAGGAATCTGAGACTCCCTACCCCAAACCACCTTTATTTCAGCAGTCACTAAGTGTAATGCTATGTACACATTGTCTTGTTTGTTTTCCTTTCGTCCTCTCTCTCTCTTTTTTAATATAGCCCAAGCTGCCCTCAAAATTCCTATGTAGCCAAAGCTGGTCTTGAATTTCTGACCTCCCTGCTGCTGCCACCCAAGTGCTGGGATTACTGGCATCTGCTACCAAGTCAAGCACTTGCATTTATTAAAATGCCAATACAAAAAAATTAATTAATTTTTAAGTCTTTCTCGGGGAATCTTAAGCTACAAACTAAGTAACCATACAGTGTTCAGAAACACCAGAATCTCATACTAACTGATTTTACTTTTTGGTCACAACGAGAATACTGGAAAAGGCTCTGTGCTATAATGGCCACCGAAACATGATGAGGGGCACTCATGTGCTTTGATGGAGCCCAGAGTCTCTTGGAGCTGTTTTCCTCTGTGGCTTTTGTACAATTTCAGAGCAATGGTTACTGATTTATCATTGCTTAGGAAGTTAGAAGTTCAAGGGCATAGTTAGGGTTTCTGCTGCTGTGTAGACACCATGACCTTATAAAGAAAAACATTTAATTGAGGCTGGCTTACAGTTCAGAGGTCTAGTCCACTATCATCATGGAGGGAAGCACAACGTCATGCAGGCAGATGTGGTGCTGGGGATGAACTGAGAGTTCTACATCCAAAGGCAGCAGGAAGAGACTGTTGTGTAAGTGGGGGTTTCTCTGCCACACCATGTCCCACAGCTGCTTTTAAATAATCACTCAGAGGCTTAATATTAATTGCAAAATGCTTGACTGAATAGCTCAGGCTTATTTCTAGCTAGCTCTTCCATTTAAATTAACCCATTTCTGCAATCTACGTGTTGCCGCCTGTCTTGTGGCTTTACCTGTGCTCTAGTTCATCTTGTTCATCTGGCGGGTGGCTCACCTCTCCCTTGACTCAGACCTTCTTTGTCCTTGTACCTTCATTTGGCTTTCCTGCCTAACCTTAGTCTGCCTGGCTGTAGACCAACTTAGCTTTATTATTAACCAATAAGAGGAATACATATTCACAGCTTAGAAGGACTATCACACAGCACTGCCACACTGGCCTGAGCATCTGAGATTTCCACCCCCTAGTGACACAGTTCCTCCAACAAAACCCAACCTACAGGGCCACACTTTCTAATAGTGCCGCTCCCTATAGATGTATGGAGGCTGTTTTTATTCAATCCACCACAGGCATTTTATAATTTAGATCAACTAAATTAGGCAGTACTTCAGTGGGTATTTCTTTCATTATTATCTGAGTCCATTATACCTATGAAGTCATAAACACCACGTTTTGACAAGTCTCTTCCTGGTGCATGGCCCCCTCAATGTACTGGCTTTTGATGTTGAGACAAGGTCTTGTGTATCCCATTATGGCCTCTAACTTGCTATACAGTCAAGGGTAAGGGTGATCTTGAACTTCAAATTCCTCTGCCTTTGCCTCCTTGTCCTGGGATCACAGGCATATGCCAACCCAGGGTTTCTTGCATGCTAGGTGTGTACAGCTATATCCGAAACCCTGCATTTCCTCTTTGAGTCATAACCTTTAGTTTTTGTTGCTTTCCATTGTCTCCTAATTTAGCAGCTATACCTTGAGTTCACGCCTCTTTTTCCAGCTATCCTGGAACTCGCTTTGCAGAGGATAACTCAGTTTCTGCCATCACTGCCTAACTTGCATCCCTTCTCTTGATGGTTACCTCATCCTTGTAGCACCCAAGTCCTTCTGCCAGGTCCTGAAGACAAACTCCAGCCCTAGCGAGTTAACTATTAGCCTCCTCTGCAGCTTCTTTCGGGTAGAGAACAGCAGGGCCAGGAGAAGCCTATCCTCATTGATTAACACCTCAAACCCCGTTCCTGCTTTCATCTGTGAC